GACTAAACCAGGAGAACTAAACCAGGATTAAACAAGGACTAAACCAGGACTAAACAAGGACGGCTAAACCAGGACTAAAACAGAACCAAATCAGTACTAAGCCAGAAGTAAACCAGAACTAAACAAGGACTAAACCAGGACTAAACTGGAACTAAACCAGGACTAAATAAGGACTAAACAAGGATTAAAGAAGGATGACTAAACCAGAAGTAAACCAGGACCAAACCACAACTAAACAAGGAGTACTAAACCAGGACTAAACTGGAACTAAACCTGGACTAAACAAGGATTTAAACAAGAATAAACAAGGACTAAACAAAATTGAATAATCTAGGACTAAACCGGGGACTAAACCGGTACAAAAACAGTACTAAACTATGACTAAAAATGATGACTAAACCAGAACTAAACCAGGACTAAACTAAAAACAGGACTAAAAGTAATTAAACCAGGACTAAACCAGAACTAAACCAGGATTAATCTAGGACTAAACTGGAACTAAACTAGGATTAAACAAAGACTAAACCACAACTAAACAAGGATTAAAGAAGGATGACTAAACCAGAACTAAAACAGAACTAAACCAGGACTAAACCAGAACCAAACCAGGACTAACCAAGTAGTATTAAACCAGGACTAAACTGGAACTAAACCAGGATTAAATAAGACTAAATGAGGACTAAGCAAGGATTAAAGAAGGATGACTAAACCAGGACTAAACAAAGGATGACTAAACCAGAGCTAAACCAGGACTAAACCAGAACTAAACAAGGAGTACTAACCCAGGACTAAACTGAAACTAAACCTGGACTAAACAAGGATTTAAACAAGGATAAACTAGGAATAATCTAGGACTAAATTAGGGACTAGGGACTAAACTAGGACTAAAGAATGATGACTAAACCTGGACTAAACCAGAGAACTAAACCAGAAGTAAGCCGGAACTAACCCATGACTAAGCCAGGACTAAACCAGGACTAAACAAGATCTAAATCAGGACTAAACCAGATCTAAACCTGGACTAAACCAGGACTAAACTAGGTCTAAACTAAGTCTAAACTAGGACTAAACCAAATCTAAATCAGGACTAAATCAGATCTAAACCAGGACTAAACTAGGTCTAAACTAGGTCCAGACTAGGACTAAACAGATCTAAACCTGGACTAAACCAGGACTAAACTGGATCTAAACCAGGACTAAACCAAGACTAAACAAGGTCTAAATGAGGACTAAACCAGAACTAAATAAGGACAACTAAACCAGGACTAACCCAGGACTGAACCAGGACTAACCCTAAGAACTAAACCAGGACTAATTGAGAAGTTAACCAGAACTTAGTCGGCTCCATAGGCTTCATACAGAGGCCCATATTTAGGCTGGCAAACACCATCTGCGCCGTGTAGGAGCCTTTTATAATCTCTGCTCAATGATTGGGATGATGAGTCAAATTTACATATCGAGAAGCAGCTCCCAGCGTGCCATCGTCTGGCTTTGTTTACTGAGCTCGGCCTAAATAACGTTTGTGTTTCTTTACTTTAATAGAATGGCACTTTTGTCTTAAATAAAGAAAACGTTTTCAAAAGTCTCGACAGGAAGCAGCCCCCTACATGAGGAACGCACACGATGATTGGCAAGAGATTTTGTCTTAAAATCAAGTGAAAAAGATCATATTGTTTCAGAAATAGCATCGCAAAAGTCAAAGTTTAAATGAGGAAGAAAGACAGAGATTTGCTTTAGTTCTGGTTTAGTCTCAAGTCAGAACTGGTTTAGAACTGGATTAAAATGGAAGTTCCTAGACCCGGTTTTAGACCTGGTCTGGGCCTTGTTTAGACCTGCTTTAGTCTTGGGTTAGAACCATAGACTGTACAGTAGACTAAGGGAGAGCCACCCATAGTTTTCGGCTTTAGTCTAATGTAGTTCATCGGCACTAGCAGTTATTTTGGAGCATATTTGGAGCCAAATTCCATATTTGGAATTATGACCGTGAGTATCGCAGCAACCAAAGCACCAATCAGGAGCATCCCTTTGAAGGTAAGGCTCTCCGTTCATTTTCAGCATCGCTGGTTTAGCAAGATTTAACAGTCCTGGTCCAGACATGTTTTAGACCTGGTTTAGACCTGGTTAAGACCTGGTTAAAGTCTTGGCTTTGGACTGGTTTAGACCTGGTTTAGACCTGGTTAAAGTCTTGGCTTTGGACTGGTTTAGACCTGGTTTAGACCTGGTTTAGAAAGTCTTGGCTTTGGACTGGTTTACTGGTTTAGACTTGGTTTAGTCTGGCATCATCTGGTTGCTCTGCTTAAATAACATTTCTGTTTCATTACTTCAGTAAAATTATAATGTTGTTGTTGTCTTAAATAATAAAAACTCATTTTCAAAAAGAGTACAGCCAATGAGTGGAAAAAGATTCTGTTTAAAATGAAAAATAGCACCTCAAAGGTGAAAGTTTAAATGCATTTTTCTGAACCTGAAGAAAGTCCGTGATCTCAGATCTGAATTACCCTGATTATGTCTTCATGTTGGAGACGCTGAGTGAACGATAGAAAAGCAGAAGTGAACAGTTTGTCCTCGAAGATCATGAAAAACCAGAGAATCTGAGCTTTTTACCAAATTGTGATGGATGTCAGGCACAAAGCACCAAACTCCACTCTTATGGTCGGTAATGGAATAGGATAAGAGGTACTTCAACAAGGACTAGTTTTTAGTCCTGGTTTAGATCTGCTTTTGTCCTCATTTAGACTTAGTTTAGTCTTGGTTTAGTCCTGGTTCAGTCCTGATGTAGTCTTGATTTAGTCCTGGTTTGGACCTAGTTTAGTCCTGGTTTAGTCCTAGTTTACATCCAGTTTAGTCCTGGTTTAGTCCAGGTTTAGATCTGGTTTAGTCCTGGTTTAGATCTGGTTTAGTCCTAGTTTGGACCTAGTTTAGTCCTGGTTTAGTCTTGGTTTAGATCTGGTTTAGTCCTAGTTTAGACCTGGTTTAGCCCTGATTTAGATCTTTTTTAAACCTGTTTTAGATCTGTTTTAACTGTTTCCTGGTTTAGATCTTTTTTAAACCTGTTTTAGATCTGTTTTAAACTGGTTTAGTCCTGGTTTAGTCCTGGCTGAGTACATGTTGATTTACGCAGATATTTGATCTATCATCACTTCACTTCCATGTAGTAAGCGACAGGAGCACATTTTACCATCATATTTCTAAAATAAATTCATGACAGCTTTACGCCTGACTGTCTGACTCTCTATAAATCTGTTACCCTGCTGTTTGTTGCCATCCACCATTAGGTAATACAGACTTAACCTTTATGACGCACACGGCTAATTTATAACGTCGACAGCATCATTCCCACCACAACACTCGCAAAATACAAATAAATCGAGTCAAAACGGCACCAGGAGATGTGACCTATTTTGCCATGGGAACTATACTCCTGTTTTGACAATATATATTTCAAAAAGGGGTCAAAGAGATGCCAGTGGGGCCAGTCTAAACACACGTAATGATTAAAGGCGCCTGGATTTTTACTGCCTTAAATAACGTGAAAAACAGAACTAGTTTGCAGAGGTCCAAAGTCATTCCTCGCTTAACTTATGCATTCAGAGCGTCCTCATTGCTCACCGCGATGACTTTATGAACACTTTTCGCGACTTTCAGACACCAGAGTATCACCATAAAGCTAGCATGCCAACTGTGCAGTTCCTGATTAACTGATAATAAGATGCAGACAGTACACAGCAGTCTTACTTTGACCTCAAGAGCAGCTTAAGGAATCTATCTGTACTAAAATAAGACACATTTTGCTGAAATATATAGGAAAAAATGTCTATATAATGTCTTTTTCGGACTATATGTCTCACTTTTTTTCATGGTTTGGATGTTTCCTGTGACTTATACTCTGGTGAGACTTATATATTAAAATGTTCACACTGAAGCGGTGAGAGGTTCTAGTCTTGTGTGTGAGTATCTGCTGCTCCTGTTCCTCCACTGTCACTTCACTCTACTGCACATGTCTCCTGCAGAAAGAGCCTCTGTTCTGTCTGTATCATGTCAGTCGATCGCACCGTTACTTCTGTACCACCGAACAATTAACATTTAAACAAACTTATAAAGACGACTGAGAAACTGAACACAAATGCCCCCAAAAAGCAAAATCAGATTTTGCAAATTACAAACTGCAAGTAACGAAATTTGCAGCTGAAAACGGTAATCGAGACGCAGAAAGAAAGTTTGGAGTGAGAGAGAATCTTGTGACACTGGGAGGATGTAACATGAAACTTTCCTGAAGTCACTGGATGGATGGACAAAGTCTGGACTTCAGTGACACTGAAACCATCCTGTCGGGATTCAGAAAGACCCGAATAATTCTAACTGGAACTGATGCTGAGTCTGACGACAGCGACACAGAAGAGGAAGTGACGCTCTGTTTACCTCCGGAGGTCGAGGAGTTGTTCAGAAGTGACACCGAGGATGAAGAATTGAATGGATTTAGTGATTTGGAGTGAGATGGAGAGTTTGTTAAACTTGTTCTGTTCTGTTGTTTATGTTATAGTTTATCTGAAGAACTGTTCATATGTGACGTTAACAGTCTGTTGTTCTCTCTTCTGTTGTTATTACTACAACTTGTCTTTCAAGATGAAATGTCGGTTCCTGGTCTCTAATTTGATCAAATACATTTCCCCCAAAAAGTGCCATTTATAGTCCGGTGCAACTTTTTTTTTTTTTTTTTTTCTTCTTTATTACGCATTTTTACTTACAGTCTGAAAAATACAGCAGACCTTTTAACATCTTGGTTTTACAATTAAAGGAGCTGTTGTCAGTGAAACAGTAACATAAAATTACAGCTTCGGTTTACATGGTTTTTAATTTATTTATTTTAATTTATTTATTTATTTGGTTATTTGTTTATTTATTTAATTCATGATAAAAAGACATTAAGAGTGTCACAACATCAAACATACAAGTAACCACAATTGAATAAATGTAAAGTAGAGCTTTATTTAATGCCAGACTGTGGAGCATTCCAGGCTGAGCTTTGGCGTATCCATAGAAACAAGCAGGTGACCGACCCCCAAACAAAAGGTTACACAGTGCACCTTTGGGAGTTGTTGTTTTTCTTATCTTCAGTGTAGAAAGATGTATTTTCATTTCTTTTTAAGTACAAAAAGTTCATTGGCAGATCATTTCAGTCAAGTGAAATTTACTCAAATCGTGATCAAAATTTCTTCATTCAAGTCATCTTAACGTGGTTGGATTTGAGTTTTTGCAGTTCACAGTCTGTTTCATTTTTCCTTCAGCCTCTCCCTCCCCTGGTGCAGACTCCTCAGATCTGACCAGGACTGGAGCAGGAGGAGGCCGGGCACGAGGACCCAGATGCCGTTGAAGAAGACCAGGTAGACCCACAGGTGTAACCAGGAAGAGGCTTGGTTCAGGTTAGGAGAGCCCTGCAGCCAGTCGGGAGCGAAGGTCATCCAGCCCCCGTACAGCTCACACACACACAGCGAGATCTGCACGAAGTGTCTGCAACAAATCCAACACATTTAAAGACGCACTGTGGGAAGTTTTGTTTCGTTTTGTTTTGGATGATCTGCTACCTGCTTGTCTCCATAAAGATGTTGTTGCTTTGCCTGGAATGTTCCCTTTTACAGCAACTTGTCTTTTTTTAATCTATTGAATTATATGTGTTTTTACTCCTAAAAATACCTTGGAAAAATGCATTCTTCCTGTGCACAGACTTGCCTCTCCACAGTTCTGACCTGTAACTTGGCCTAGTTAGTCACCTTCTCTAATGTGATGCATAAGTTACTGTCAAACTGTGGAACATTCTCAGCAAAGGAATAGCATCTCCATACACTAGGAGGTGGCAAACCACCCACTGAAATGTAACATAATGCATGTGATCATTGTCAGTTTGTCATGACCACATTTGTCAGTGATTAAAAAAAAGTCAGTGATGGAAAAAAGTTATAAATTGTAATAAATAATTTTTGAAGTGTCACAACAGCAGAAAAATCAAACTTTAGTTACATCCAGACAGAGATCACAGACATCTTCCCTCCACAAATGCACTAAGATCTTCCCTCTACACATTTTCACAAACAAAAAAGTCTGTATTTTCACAAATATAGGCTGAAGTAAATCTGTCGGCGTCGCCATGTTTGTTTTGGTGCATTTGAGGTTTTGCCTTTGGCTTCCAAACACACCTCTGTGCCGCGACGTGATTGGTCTGACTGAGACTCTCTCCCGTTGCTTTGTGAACTCACAAACTCCATGTGAACTCCATCTTGCTGTGCATGCCCCATAACAGCACTGTTGGGCAAGTTACTTTAAAACTGTAGTGCACTATTTATGACTTATCACTGAGTGCGTATACATGCACATCAATAACCCGGTTATGATCAGGTTTTTGAGTATCCCGATTTCTTGATGGTGCATGTATACGCAGTAACCCGGTTTCAGTAACCCGGTTATGGCAGTATCCCGGTTATTAGAAACCGGGTTACTGTAGCTGGGTTATTCCGATAGTAACCGGGATACTTGTGGCATGTAAACGCAGTATCCCGGTTACTGCAACATAAAGTGGAGTGCGCATGCGTCCAAAAGACACTTTCCAGCCTTTCACCACAACAGTAGTCACATAAATAAATTGACCAACATAAATAAAGTGACCAAACGAGTGAAATGACTGTAAAATAAAGAGCTGCGCTAAACCTGCACACGTACAATCTGCACTCGTACGACCTGCACTCGTGTGACGCTGAAAAGCTAAAACATGAACTATCTCCTATACTCTATATGCACGGAACACACTTACCATCATTAGCGCCTCTTCTGTCACAGAAATAACACACATAATCCACAGAGTCGTGTCATTTAGTCCAAAAGAAACTGATCGCATCAGCGGCACAAGGAGCGAGTTGTTTTTATCGCCGCTAACAGTTTATGCTAATTAGCCAAACGGTCTTAAGTTTCATTTCTGTAAAACATAAACACATGTGATCACAGCTGAATTATCTGATCAAACGGGCTGATGTAGCTCTATAGTGTTTATGGTTTATATGTTGTAAAGTTGAGTTTATTTATGCAGAAGATTTTAATGAAGAATCTGCACAGTGGATTGTGGGAGATCTCGTAGCTCCTTAGCTTCTTATGCTAAAGGAGCTCACGGTTTGTATTTTTTCCTGGTTTATGAAATTGATTTAAGTTAATTTTTGTGCCTGCCTGCGCATTTGTAAGATTATGTCAAGAAACCGGGATACTCCATTTGATCATGTACACGCGAATATGAGTGTCCCGGTTTCTCAGTGCGCATGTATACGCAGTAACCCGAATACTGATATAACCGGGATATGGCTAATAACTGGGTTATTGATGTGCATGTATACGCACTCACTGTCATTTCAAAGTAATTTGTTACAATACAATATTACTGCATTTAAAATGTAAAACATTACATTACTAATGCAGGATTTTTAAGTTACTCTCACCAAAATAACTGAATAACTGAATATGGACTGAACCAGGACTAAACCAGGTCTAAACAAGGACTAAACCAGGTCTAAACAAGGACTAAACCAGGATTAAACCAGGACTGAACCAGGTCTTAACCAGGTCTAAACCAGGACTGAACCAGGTCTAAACCAGGACTAATCTTGGTCTAGAACTTGGAATCTAGGACCACCCCTGAGAGAACCCCAAGCCCATGGAGCAGGGTGTTTTCAATGCATGATCGGGCTGCTGCGGTTCACCCCGTAGAGCGCAGAGTTCTGCCTTGGTCCTTTCGCTCGCGGTCACCTGACGGTCTACGCGGGCGCATCTCCAGCGTTTCACCGCTGCTGATGTCGTGGTGATTTTAATGAATTTGTATGAAGAAAACCCCACCACTTCAATCCAGGTTAAAAAAGCATTGTAACGCACGTTACTGACATTTGTACTGAGTAAAATATTACTATTTTTCCCCTGTAATGCCGTAACATTACTGTGTTACAGCAAAAAGCAACGCATGACAGTAATTTGTTACTTTTATAACACGTTACTCCCAACACTGCATAACAGTAGCTCTAACCCTGAATGATACAAACCTGTAGTGTTTGTTGTGGACCACAGCGTAGATGAGAGCCACACCCAGAGCAGAGCAGAGCCCCACAGTGAGCAGCTCCACAGACACTATCCCCGGGTCTGACACCAGCCAGCGCCTGTCTGCTTTACCATACTCCTGCCCTGGACACAAGAGAGAGACGAACCAACAGGCACGTTCAGATGAGCCGACAGACCTCTATCAGAAGACACAGGACACAGCAGTACTGAACTCAAGTCTATTTTTATGAGAAATATTCTTAAATTAAATCCACAAACTTCATCATACTGACAAGTGCAGGAAATAAGAAGATTTTAAAGAGGGGGGACCTCATCTGCCTGAAGAGTAATCTAATGTTTGAGTAATCTAGCGATCTCTCCCGGGCCCTCTTCAAACCCTCCTTACGTTTAGCTATTGGATCCTGTACAAAGCTCCGCCCACAAGCCTACGTCACCCACGCTCCTGCACGACAGTTCTGCATAAATTGATGAAATATACAAAAGCATGAAGCAAAACTGTACACAAAAACAAACCTGACGGGACGTGCAGTAGTTTCATTACACTGATTGTGTTGTGATAGTGCTCTGAAGGGGGAGTGACTTAGCGTGTAGAGCAAAGGGAAGGAGGATATTTTTCAAAATAATAAAAACTAACAGGGCAATTAATACTTCATATAAGTAAAATACCCCCTGTTTAACATAGTCCAAGTGACCTTCTGTGAGATGAGACAGGAGCCAATGTTCCTGTTTTGATCAAATTGCATTTTTATGAGAAATTCACAAACGTTTTAACCTTGTAGTCCGCCTTATTCAGGAAGTACCCACAGGCGCCATCATTAATTACACCCGTCCACATTATGACTTTGCACAGTGCAGCTGATCTTGACAGTAAATAAGTTCTGTATAGACGACAAAGCCGTTTTTAAGCCTCACAGAGACAGGGTGCATTGTTAGCGTTTATTTTACACAGATCAGCCCACTTTATATCAATTTTTTCCAACCCCCACTGCATTAAAACACTGCAGGTAAAAGCTGAAATCCACAGTCTGTTATTTTCACCCTCACAACAAAAAGAGTTGTAGAAAGTGCTGGTAAAAATCACTGTGGTGAATAATGAGGGTTTTTGGAATGTAAGACCGAGGATTCACTTTGGATCCATGCAAAGTGTTGAACCAGTGAACCAAAATGAAGCAGGTTTTGAAAGAGTCAAAATCTAATACGGCTCTTTTAAGTCGGGTTTAGTTGAGTTGGATGAAGTTGATTTTCTCTGTGAGCTGGACTTACAGAGCTGAGCCAGAGGTCCTTCAGACGTCTCCACAGAGCCACGTAAAGACATCCACACAAAGGGCCCCTCCTGAAACACAACACAGCAACTGATGAAGAGTAAAGCTCCACTGTGGGACTTTTATGGTCAGGATGTTTGTCGGATAGAGATTAGGGGTGTGCAAAAATATCGATATATCGTATTGTTTAATGTGAAGATACAGTATCGATATCGTGGACTGCTGTATCAAGATATTGCTGAGAGTACTTTTAAAAAAAAAGTATATTTTACTAAATTATTTTGTGTAAGAGCTACGATTGTGTTGACATTTTCGCTGTTTTGAGTAAATTGGGTGTTTTTCATTCATTTGATTTCGCCTTTGTTCGTCATTGAACCTTATTGAATCATTATTGAATCGTATTGAATTGAAAGTGCACTGTATCGAAAAGAGTATCGTATTGTGGCCTATGTATCAAGATATATATCGTATCGACAACTTCTTAACGATACCCAGCCCTAGCAGATACATAGGCCGCCTTGCTTCTGTCAGTCTGCCCCAGAACAGCTGTGGCTACAAGAGGCTCTATTCACACTTAAGCCACAAACCAGAAAGACATTTGGAAAGATGCGTTTACCACTTCCGGTGTACTTACCAACACTGAGCTCACCGACTGACAGTGATCAAACCCACTGAAGTAACTGTGATCAGTGGTAAAATGAAGACTCCAGACGTATGTGCTGTTTGGAATCACCTGGAATTTGGTGCCTCATCTCTTTTAATCACATGTACCAAGTGCACTCAGAGTTGTACGTCAGTGGGGAAATGATGAAAACTGAGCCTGGGAAGTTGTAATTGCATCTTTCCAAACATCTTCCTGGTTTGTGATGTAAGCATGAATAGAGCCTATAGTATCTTACCACCACCAGGTCTGAAGTGAATGAATAATGCTCTGTAAAGCATCTTTGAGTGTCCAGAAAAGCGCTGTATAAAACTGATGCATTATTATTGTTATTAAGAGTATTTTTTGGTATATTTTGTTAAATTATTTTGTTACAGAGCTACAGTTTTGTTATTTGTTCAGAGGAAGGCAAGTCATTTATGAAGCACACTTGACATTTTCACTGTTTTGATTGAGTCAAATGTTTGTGTTTCACATGAACTTTGCAAACTTTAACAAAGACTTTTAGAATCACAGCCATGATTTAGCCTTTAAGTTTTATTGAACCGTATCGAATCAATTTGAAACATCGTCCGATTTGATCGATTTGAAATATCGTACCGTTGTATTGAACCAAAAGTGCATTGTATTGAGGTATGTATCGGCTCGTGACCTATGTATCCAGATATGTATCATATCATGGCCTATGTGTCAAGGTATGTATAGTGTCGTGGCCTATGTATCGAGATATGTATCATATGTGGCCTATGTATCGAGGTATGTATCGTATCGTGACCCATGTATCGAGGTATGTATCGTGGCCTATGTATCGAGGTATGTATCGTATCGTGACCCATGTATCAAGGTATGTATCGTATCGTGGCCTATGTATCGAGGTATGTATCGTATCGTGACCCATGTATCGAGGTATGTATCGTATCGTGACCCATGTATCAAGGTATGTATCGTATCGTGACCCATGTATCAAGGTATGTATCGTATCGTGGCCTATGTATCGAGGTATGTATCGTATCGTGACCCATGTATCAAGGTATGTATCGTATCGTGACCCATGTATCAAGGTATGTATCGTATCGTGGCCTATGTATCGAGGTATGTATCGTATCGTGACCCATGTATCGAGGTATGTATCGTATCGTGACCCATGTATCGAGGTATGTATCGTAACCCATGTATCGAGGTATGTGTCGTATTGTGGCCCATGTATCGAGGTATGTATCGTATCGTGACCCATGTATCAAGGTATGTCTTGTATCGTGGCCTATGTATCGAGGTATGTATCGTATCGTGACCCATGTATCGAGGTATGTATCGTAACCCATGTATCGAGGTATGTATCATATCGTGGCCCATGTATCGAGGTGTGTATCGTATCGTACCCATGTTACTTTGTGGTGACATCACGCTCGGGGTGTTCTACATGTATCTCTATGGTGGAATGCTCAGCAGTTACCGAACATTGTCAAGTCAGTCAGAAAACTCCAGAGAAAATAGAAAATGGATTTAGAGAGCACATTTTCAGGAGTCTGTGATCAACTCGAACATTCACCCCAACCCCAGGGAATATTGAGGACGCCAGCAGATCAACAAATCAAAAGTCAAAAGCGCAAAAGTCGTTTTAAAAGCCTGAATAGCGTGTAGTGTATAAGATTTCTGCGCTACAAATTTTATTACCAAGGTGATGTGGACAATGACGTCATAGAAGAGCCAGGTCAGCACCCACTGGTCGATCGTGGAGCTCTTCCCTCCCACGCGACGCATCATCAGATAGGCCGCCACCCCCTGGAACGCGCAGGCCAATAGGGAGACAGCGGAGACCATGGAGAAGGCGGGCTCATTCATATCCATCTTTCTAAAAAATATATATTAGTAACTAGACAATAACAATGCAGGTTATTCCAGTTCAGTAAAATGTTAAAATTGCCTATACCTCTTTCTATGCGCTTAAAACTTTGTAAATCTACCTTAAACTGTTTCTAAAATGGAAAGCAACGTCTCTAGTCAACTCTCCTCAAAGCTAAAATCTGAACTGAAGCGCTGCAGTCCTGTGATCCCGCCCCCTTCCCTCCTCCTGCGTTCTGATTGGCCCCAAAACCAAACAGACCACTCTAATCCCGCCCTCAGCCTCTCCTCCTCGACTCTGATTGGTCCCCTGGCATTTTTTTTCACAGTTTGATTTCGGGTCAAACTTCATATAACAGTGAGAGTGAAAGAAGAAGGGAGAGGAGTCCGCAGACTTCAGAACAGTGCACAGTGTCATTCGATACGCCCCATGTTAAATAACAGAGCCGCAGACCTGGAGCCAAACTGACCCGGACTTGAGTTTTGTTTCATTCACACATGTTTGAGTGACTCTTTATTATTACTTTGTTTACATCTCCAAAGCTCCAAATGCTCTGTTCCACCTTGTGACGTCATGAAGCAGTAGTTTTCAAGTTTACAGCTGCGTTTTTACGGAATTAATTTTGAGTCAAACAGTTCACTTTTAAAACATCAAGCAAACAATTATAAACCAAAATACCAAAAAAAATAAATAAATCTAACAAAAAATAAATTAAATTAAATATCTGAGATCACAATGAAATTATTTGTGTAATTGTGTAAAATATTAGTCGTTGCCTCTTTAATTTTTGATCCTCGTCTTTCTCAGTTTAGTTTGATGCATTTTTGTTTTTTTTTTTTGTTTTTTTTTTGGTTATGATTCCAGCTCTCTCTTTTGTGCTTTCATTCCCATTGGTTAATTTATGTTGATGTATCCAAAGAGGCAAAGACAGATATTTTAAACAATTACACAAATAATTTGATTGCAAATTTATTTATTGTATTTTATTTTACACTTTCGTTAGATTTTTTTTTTTTTGGTATTTTTATTTGGTATTATTTTGACTTATTTTTTTTATAATTTATATTTTGCTTGATGTTTTAAAGCATTTTTTGTACTATTTGACTCAAAATTTATTCCATACATTTTACATTAAATCAGAACACAGGTACATTAAAAAAAGTGCAATATTGACCCTTTAACACTGCACACATTATCAGTGGTTAGCAGTGTTTTTCTACACACCAAAATCTCTTTATTGTCTCATTTCTGGACATTAATTAAAGTATGTAACTTTCTGGAGGGTTCATGTGTGAAATAGAAAACTACAATGACAAAGACAGAACAGTAAAAGAGTTGAGTTGCAGACTGATGTTGCTTAATACATGTCCACAGACTGGTAGTGTTTGCACTCTCTGTTAAATCATTAATGAATCAGTGGCTGTTGTTCAGACGTGGGACTCGCAAGTCGTTACTTGGACTCGAGTCAGACTTGAGTCACTATTTTTAGAACTTGAGGGCCTGTTTACATGAGAACACTTGTGGGTAAGAACGACTAAAATATTTTATGGTAAGTGCCTTTCATTTAAACGGTGATGGCATTTTTGGGGCTTAAAAACACAAAAACCTGAGATCACCCTCCAGAGTGGAAAAGTTGAATAGGCTCTGCCATAGCGTTTCCGTCTACACTTCCCAAGACACAAAACTCTGGTCAGATCTGCTCAGGTCGTGTACATGTTTACGTCACAGACAGCACCACCTAGAGACCTAGTCACCTGGCATGTGGACACAATCGAATTACACACTTTTTTGTGTCACTGTATGTGCGCAGATTTCCTCCCGAAAACGCCCATCTAAATGCAGAATGAAAAGTGAAGACGCGACGCCACTTTTGCGTCTTTTGTTCAGACAGTCATCATATAAAAGTAGCCTGAGTCTTGACTTGATAAAATGGAGTAAGACTTGGGACTCGGCTTGGACTTGAGACTTGTGACTTGAAAAGACTTGATGCTTCTCCTAAAAAATAGAAAATACTTTTCTCTTTTCAGTTTATAAATGAGGTGCTTGATTTTACTGGAACAAAACTCATCAAATGTACTACAGTAATATACAGTACAATACAAACGTAAAACATAGGGGACTACAAAGAATATGATCCTTCCATTTTAGAGACTACATGACAAAATAACTGGACTTTTTAGATCTGAATTCTTGACCGTAATGATTCACCCTAAGATCTTGTCAAGATATTTAAAAAGGAAAACTCTGCATTTCTACAACTCTTATATAAATACTCATATATAAATATACCATGACTTTTTAAGTGCATTTTAGTTAGTTTACTCATCTTGGACTTGCCTGTATTTGACTTGGGACTTGACTTGGACTTGAGGTCAAAGACTTGAGACTTACTTGAGACTTGCAGAACAACGACTTGATCCCACTTCTGCTGTTGTTACATGAGCTCAAAAAATTGGATAATAATCACATTTTGAGTTACAAGACTATGAAATGAAACAGCAAAAACATCTGCTGCCTTTCTGACCATGGTCTGTCTGATAACTCACTCATCAGAGCTTGAGGTCTGCATGTCATATAAGGTCACAGTATGTCACTTTTTTTTGCCAAAGCTAAAATAAAAAGAATGATGTTTCTGTATGGATGCTTTGATTACTTTAAAAACAGCTTTAGGACAGGTCAATCCTCTGGAAATGAACGTTTGTGTTTCCGCATTGTTATTATTAGACTCTATTCATTGCGGCGCGTCGGTTGTGTTATTAGTTGAAATAATGAGCTTACGTGTCCACTCTGCTCTGCTTCAGTGTGTTTAAAGTTTAAAGCCGCTCATGATTGACAGGAACATGGACCAGTTAAATGGCAGCTAAAATTAATATTGTTACAAAATATAAAATGTTGCAATAAAGTTTTTGGGTTTAGACCAGGTTCGATAACTGTGAATTCACCTTTATTTAATAGTAAAGCACAATAATCAATAGGGAAATCTGTCTCTTGGTTCCATCTGAGAGTATGACGTCATTGCATTCAAGAATCTGAAAACCACCAATAGTTCAGAGAGATTCGGACACACAGATCTCTACTTTTGGTTATGTGGCTCTTGCGTCTGAGTGAAAAAAAAAAAGTCTAAAGGCTAAACTCTAATAAGACTTGATTTCTGTCGTTAATAATGATCAGATCAGACTGGCACGAGTGTTTACGGACTCATAATAATCGCACATGTTTTCGTAACGTTGGATTTCATGTAAACAGATCAGATTATTTGATTTTTGTCGAAGATGATGAAATTCTCGATCTTGTACCAGCTTGGCAAAGACCTCAGAGACTAAGCAGGACCAGGCTTGGTTAATACTTGGATGGGTCGTTGTGTCCTGAGGCAATGCACTTCACCCGCATTGCCTAGTATAAAAGTGGAGTGTGTGTGAGTGATGGAGGTGGTCAGGGGGACCGATGGGGCAGATTTGCAGCCACGCTTCAATCAGTCTGCCTCAGGGTGAGTGAATAATGCTCTGTAAAGCTTCTTTGTGACATGCTTTGTCTCTGAAAACTGCTATATAAACAGTGTTGGGCAGTAACAGATTACATGAACCGGAGTTACGTAATCAGAGTACAAATTATGAGTAACTGTATTCAGTTAGTTACTGTTTCCATGAGTGGTAATTGGATTACAGTTACTTTGTTGAAATAAATGGATTACACAGCGGTATTTTCCTGTTTTTACATTTTGGGCTAAACCAGGACTAAAAGCAGGACTAAACCAGGTCTAAACCAGGACTAAACTAGGACTAAACCAGGTCTAAACCAGGACTAAACCAGGACTGAACCAGGACTAAACCAGGACTAAACCAGGTCTAAACCAGGTCTAAACCAGGACTAAACCAGGACTGAACCAGGACTAAACCAGGACTAAACCAGGTCTAAACCAGGACTGAACCAGGACTAAACCAGGACTAAACCAGGTCTAAACCAGGACTAAACAGGACTAAACCAGGACTAAACCAGGACTAAACCAGGACTAAACCAGGACTAAACCAGGACTAAACCAGGACTAAACCAAGACCACGCTGTGCAGACCATCTCTCCTCTTCTATCAATAATATTTTTAATATGGTTAAGGAAAGTCTGGACTTTTCATTGTCTTTTAGCAAACAAAACTTCTTATGTGAAGGTATCCTAATCGTTGCTTCTCTACAGCAAATCAAGTAATCCAAAGTATTCAGATTATGTTACTCACTTTAAGTAATTTAATGGATTATGTTACAAACTACATTTTGGGGTATGTAATCTGTAATCTGTAGGGGAATACATTTTAAAAGTCACCTTCCCAACACTGTATATAAATTAGGGTGACCATATTTCCATTTGTGAAAACCCGGACACCTTGCCGTGGGTGGGAGGTGGGGCCTCGACATTGAGCTACAGTTTTCCCTCGCTATATTGCGGTTCACTTTTTGCGTTCTGGCTGTTTCGCAGATTTTTTTTCTTTTCCTTTTTTTCCATCAGATTTGCATGTTTTTTTGTTTTTGTTTTTTTTTACACACGGGTGGGTCAGGACTAAACCAGGTCTAAACCAGGACTAATCTTGGACTTAAGAGAGAGAACCCCGAGCAGTTTGTCCGCAAAGCGCGATCGGGCAATTGCTGCACTTACCTCCGTGAGGCGGGGAGCTGAGCCGGTTCTTTCTCCTGCGGTCACCTCCGAGCCCACCCCGACAGTGAGTCCTGTTTCAGTTCTGGTTTAGTCCTGTTTCAGTTCTGGTTTAGTCCTGTTTCAGTTCTGGTTTAGTCTGGTTTAGTCCTGGTTTAGTCCTGGTTTACTCTTGTTTTAGTGCTAGTTCACTCCTGGTTTAGGCCTCCTCTTCAGTCCTGGATTCAGTCTTAGGTTAGTCCTGGGTTAGTCCTGGTTTAGTCTTAGTTCAGTCCATGGCGTAGGCAGCGCAAAACTTTGATATAATCTCGGGTTAACGGGCGGGTGCAGTATTGTACTGCACATGTGCGGTGTTGTACTGCGTGTCTCCAAAAATGGACCTGTGAGGGACTCTGCGCTGTCAGCTCCACTACGGAATAAATTAATCTTCAATTCGTTACATAAAGAAGGAGGAAAATAACATAAGGACGACAGCAGCAATACGTTTTAAGAAGGATGTAAAAAGGGTTGTACCTGTCCTGTCTGAGAAAAGT